CTAGGATGTAGGACAGTCAAGCAGCTAATTCACTTTGTTGTCACTGAATGAAAGAAGAACAGAAAGACACTGTCAACTTATGCCATTTCTTGATGCTTTTAGGATTTTTTTTCCTCTACTAAGATGGTAAAATCTGTTGGTGAAGCAATCAGTACTGTGCAGTGCACACTACAACAGTCACAGAAGACAGAGTTAGAAATTACCCAGAAGCAGGAGAAAGCAATAAAGAAAACCTCTTTGGTTGCCAGAATGCATAAGAAAGACCTTCATGTGCAGGTGGAGAACACCACCAACCACTAACCTTTTGATGTGGAGCGGGAGAGGTTCTTGTGGAAAGTGACAGCTCAGAGCAGAGGTACCATTTGCACATGATAAGCAAATACCTTCAGCTGAGCTGTTACTAATGGAAAAAAGAACAGACTAAGAAGGAGATTAAAGTAAGGGAAAATGAGATGGGGACTGCAGTTCTCCTGCGCTTATAAAAGCAGGGGAAGACCACCACATTTCAGATGGCTCTCATCATGCCTTCTTTTACACCAGAGCACAGAAAAAAAAAAAAAAGTTAATTTTTTCAGGTTTAGGTCTCTGTTCCTAGCTCCAGCCAGCTCATGCTGCTTCCTCCATGTGTTCAGAAGCTCAGCCTGAGGATCATCTTCATCCCATCCAACAGCACCTAGGAAGCCAAGGCACCTTTGGGCTACCCATCCCCTGAAAACAAGTTCAAACCCCTCCACCAGTTTCAAATGGTTTGCCATGAACCCAAGCCCACAGAATCTTCTACAGTGACCACAGTGTGATTGTCAGGCAGTCTCAGAAGCAAGTCTACCTATTGCACAGCAGAATCATACCTCCCTCTCTGACATAAGAACAAAGTTATGATCCTTTCCAAATGGAGGACAAAACTAAATTCCAATCACTATGAAACTATGGTAGGAATGATCTCCTTATCTCATGTCCATATCAATTTTTTTATTCCTGTTAAGAAACAAGGGAACTTTTGGGTCTTCCCAGATGTGATAAGTGAGGTGTGGGGAATGTATTCTATCACAGATCCCACTCATATTGCTAAAGTCCTGGAGGGAACTATTCCAGTTTTTACCTGTTAAAGCTTTGTGACAAACCATGCCTACACAAATGCTATAAACTCAGTGCATTTTCTATTCAATACCTATCTTGCACTTTCAGCAGTCTGGCAACCCACAGTGATTTTGGAAAAATCATATGTAGATGTCTCTGTGGGTTTTGTTCATCATACCAGAGTACTTAGGACAGAAAAAATCCCTGACATNAAAAAAAAAAAAAAAAAAAAAAAAAAAAAAAAAAAAAAAAAAAAAAAAAAAAAACCCACCAAAAACCAAAAACAAAACAAAACAAAAAAATAAAACCCCATAAAACTCAAAACAACAACCCAACCCAAAAACTAAACTGTGAACAGGAAGAGCTACATCTGTTCAGTCTTGGCTGTAATCCACCCTTTCTTGTACCATTGAGCTTGCAAAGTCAGCCACCCAAAGTACTGGACATCTAGCAGTCCTTGGAGGGACAGGAACATGACCAGACACATTAGAGAAATTACCAAAACCACAGAGGTGGGACTTCCAATATCTGCTTCCTCAAAACTGAGTGAAGCTATAAATAAGGGAACCACCGCCCTTTCCTCTCCAGTGGGTGACTGCTCACATTTGAAGCCCTGCACAGTCAGGCGTGACAAATGCAGTTTATCATACAGCTCTGAGATTTATCCTATATCTCTGCAAATTACTGTATCACGTGGATAACCCCACAACACACACAAACACATCAGTTACACCACTACAGAGCAGTATGAAACTTGCTGGTTTCTATTTCTTTAAACCCACACACCAGCAGAGGCTCAACCCCGCCTTCTCCATGTCATGACAAGTGTAGAAGTAATGAACATCATATCACTTCCATTTGTCCTGCAACCAGCCAGCAAGATAATATACAGAGTAAATAGCACATATAAGAGAGAGAAACTCTTTAGGTGGAAAGACATGCTATTTAGACTGAGGGGGGTTTAATATGCAATATGTGGTTGCAGATACTTAGCCAGAAAGGCACATCCAAATACCATATAGTGAAATTCCTGTTGAGAGCATCCCAGAGAGCATGGGAACTCAGTTACAGAACTTTTTCAAGCATAGATTGTTGCATCTGCAAAATGCGCAGAGACATCACATATGGTTTCTCCTGGTGCCCCCAGTCTCTAAAAACAATCTGTTCTGGATGTTCCCAGCCAAGTCTGACCATGCCCCCCCCACTCATAACTCTACGCCCCATTTCCCAGTCATATCCTCCAATCCTCCTTTGATCTGGGCTTGCAGAGGCTTAGCGCTTATCTATTGTCACTGTGGACACTCACCTTTAATGCCAAGGGTTACTGCTCACAGACAGTAGTAATGCCTGCAAATGTGTGGGGCATGGCAAAACAAGCAGAGTTACAGCAGCTGCAAGCTGCTTGCTTGGGAAGAACTTCAGCAAAGGCACGGCATGTGTGGGAAAGCTTCACCCTCTCATTGCCTGTGGAAATGCTAATCCAGATTCTCACATCTTAAATTCTCATGCTTTGACCTGACCACCTCCAATTAACAAACTGGAGGCATTCAGAAAAGCCTGTGAAATGAGTGATGCTTAAGCCAAGGGACACTATGAAGTATGGCATGGGGTTCTTAGGCAATTCAACCCTAGTGTGTCAAACCTGCAGAATACCTAAGACTTTTGATCTCATGTTGAGGCTTCTCATGTCATGGGTTTTCTATTGCAACCTGCCTTACGGAAACCATGCACCAAAAAGGAAGAAAATGCTGCAGACACACAGAAAGACCAGCTTCTCTGGATGAGCAGATAGAGCTGGTTCTCTATCACACACACACAAGACCTATTGGGCTAACCCTTCATCCACAGAAACAGATACATAAAATGTGATCAATCTTCTCAACTTGAAACTTTCTCCTTCCTTAAGCTACTGGTAGGAGTTCTCTCACTTCTACCCTTTCTCTGTATCCAGATGAAAGGTGGAAATATTGCAGCGAGCTACCAATCTGCTCAATAGAAGCTGAACTCCCCCTGACCTCATTGTAGCTTGGTGTGAGATGCATACCCTCTCTTCGTTAAACCATCATCTTGCTGACGTGCAGCATCGCTCCCGAACAGGAGCATCTATCTGCACTCTTGTTCACTTGACACGTGCTGTTACGCTCCCTCATGCCCTTGACAGGTCTAGCAGCAGGGATGAAGCCAATGGTTGGCAGTGTACCAGTGCTCCTCCAGGGCCACGGTCACAGCCTGTGTGGCCTGTCTGGTTACTCTTCTCTCTCTGCTGGCTGGGCACCAACACTTCCAGATGGAGAGCTAGGAAGCGATGCTCCTGTGGGGAAGCTCATGCTGATGCTGCAGAACACCTCCACCTCCCTCTGAAGCCATGAAGCCGCTGATGTTGGCCATTGCCTGTCACGGCCTCCCAGGTTAGAGAGCAGTTTGTACAAAACTAGTTTACTCTCTCAGGACAAATAATGCTTTGCCAGTCAAGGCTCACTTCATACCCAGCCTCTTAGGGGGCTCCACTGTTATTGCCCTATGTGAGTGTCTTTTTGATGCAGGTGTTCTGTCTGCTAGGTGCCAGTAAGCAGTTCTGTGATTGCAGGCAGCTGGTCCCTGACAGATGGGCAGTCACCTGTGAACACATCTGGGGCAGAGGATACTTCACCACAGCTGAATTCTGGTCAAGAGAGTTTGTTTTGAGATCATGTACTCTAGTATTTTTGTATGGAGCTGGGCATCCCTCACGCCAATAAACTCTGCCAGGAGAACAGAGCAGGAGAAATGGATGGTGCAGCTCAACACAAAAGCCAGGTTCTACTGCAAGGAAAGCAAATAAACTTTCCTTTCCCTGAATATTGTATTCATATATATCAAGAAACACGTCCTAATTCACAGGTATTAAACACAGTTGGGCTTATTTTATCCTTGGGGAAAAAAGACTGTCTTTACTTTCCATCAGTGGAAAAATTCCCATGGATTGTCTTTGCCAACCATGTATCATTTTTGCTGCTGTTTTATCCACAGCTCTTGTTTTAATCAGGTTGCTATAGTCTAAAATTAGACCAGACACATATCAATAACACCAGACAGAAGGAATAATCTGAAAACCAGTAAAATTTTTTAATCTGTGTAGATTTCAAAGAGAACCAGCTTTGTTTTTCAAATAAAGGCAATCCAGTGTCATCCTCATTAAAGTGGGAAAGGCCTTTGTCAGGTATTTTGTCAATATCTGCTTATCTTTTGCTGGGCCTTGCAAAGGTAGGATTGATTCCTTGAAGTAGCAGACTGCCAAATCTATCGCAGTAAGGATCGTATTTTAACACGGATGCTTTCTGACAAACTTCTTCCCCTTTCACCCACATCTCAAGCACATCCCTATTCAATCTTGCCTGTAGCATCTACGAGACAACTCCACCAGCCAATTCTCAGCAAACGTAAAGGATCTATTTTTAGAAGTCTTTAAGATGGCAAGAAATGCTGACTTCAGAAAACTGTGAATAACAAGCTCCTTATTTCTTCTTCCCTGCCTGCTCTCTCTGTGGAAGCAAACTACTACTATCTGGTCCAATCACTCCAGAGTCACCACCAGGCCAGAGCTGCATTTTGAGCATCTCTACTCCTTAATATATTCCCAAATCTCTTGTCCATGCCAACCTCACAGGTTCGATTTGAATTCCCCCGTGCTGTCAGCCTCAACAACCTGTCTCCATGCAGCATGGGAGGGGATGTGGTGACTCACCCAGCCTCCGGATCCCCCCTGCCAACCCACTGTTTGTTTGAGTGATTTTATTGTTGAAGCCCCGTTGCCACATTTGTAACTATACATATTTTTTTTTTATGACAACCAGAAGTTCAGTTTTATAAACAGATGTTGTTGTGGGCCTCTCTTACTCAGCTGGATCAGCGTCAGCCGTTTTTCCAGGCTGCGGTCTGTGTGCTGCACACTGAGTCAGAGCCAGCCCTGCACAGATTTCTTTGAATCGTTGGTTTCCTCCCAGAGACTCTTGACACCCTGCCAACAAAACAGGGCGTAGCTCATTAATTTTATTTTTTTTCTCCTTCTCTTTAAAGGCAGTCTGATTCATAGTAACTCCTTTAAAACAGAGTGGAAAGACACCACCCTCCCACACCACCGGAGGAAACTTAAACCACCACCAGGTCACTCCCCTTCACTCCAGCTCTGCTCTCCGAGACACCGGCACTGCAGCCCAGCACGCTCCTTCTTCCACAGGTGCCAGCACCAGCCCCAGCCCACAAGGTAAGAGCTGTTCTTGAAAATCCTCGCCAACTCTTCTCCCTCAGTGGCTGCTCCCCTCTCCGAACAGCACCAGTCTGCCTTTCTCCTCTGCCCCTTCACTTCTTTCCATCTTGGCACTCGAGCTGGCTATGGCACCTTAATTTTCATCTTTTGCTTTAAAATCCAGCTGCGTTACGAGGCAGAAGGGCACTGCAAGACTCCCTGGTTGCAGCCTCAGAGTGCTGGCACCAACAATGTTATTTTCACCTCCAGGACATGTGCAGCCAGGTGCAGGCACAGGGTGCCCAACCTGGGCCAACTCACGCTCAGGAGCTGCTGTGTGCTTTTGGAGTAGCATTGTTGACAAATGTGGAAAATGCCTGCTTGGAATTAGGGCTGCAGGCTCAGTTTTTCTGGCGCTCAAATACTTCTGCTTGTCTCTCTCCCCTCCATAATTAGTTTGCCAAGCTCTAATTTAAAACAATAGCAATCATTCCAAGTGAAGACTGAGAGGCCCCAGAGGTGCAGACTCTGGGGTACAATGGAGACAATCTCTGTTTTTTAGGGGTTCTGGCTTCTGAGGCTGAAGCCAAGCCCCAGTTCTGAGCAAAGCCACGTGAAGGGCAGAAATCCGTGTTACGCCTTCTTTGGCAGCACAGACACTGGAGTGGGGAGCGCTGCGAGGCAAAGTGGGGGAGCGGTGGAATTTCTAGGAGCACAATGGTCTGCTAGTAGGGTGTGTCAAGGAGTTAGATTCACTGATGGGAAGTGTAAGATTGCAGAGACTGGCAATTCTCTCTCTTCACCTGCCTTTTTCTATGCAACCACCCCCTCTTTCTTTCCCTCCTTTTCTTCACCATTTCTCTTGTTTCATCTGTCTGCTGTGGTTTGCATCCTGTGGTCAAATCTGAACTATTTCTGAGGTCTGTGAAAGGGAGTGCAGCAAAGCCAGTTTGTTGGCACCGAACGGGTTCCTGTGGCAGGAACTCGGCCCTCCCCTGCACAGTTCCAAGGGTCTGAAAGAGTCTGAACAGTATTTAGCCCAATACGACCAGGAAGGGGTGGGGCTCAGTCTGGGACTATGGATAATTACAATATGAATGAACAAGAAGCTGAGCTGACTGTAACTTTTTGGAAAAGGGATAAAATTTGTGAATTTTTAACTCCCCTTTGGCTGTGCTGCTTGTAGCTCAGTCATGCAGTGGTGCCTCCTGACTAAGAAATAAATGTGTTGGAGTGGTGGGGAAACTGACTGAGGCAGCGTTTCCAGGGCATCAGAAACTGGAATGGGAAGAAAGCATTTTTGGAAGTTATCATTTCATACAATTAAAAATTAAATAATATTGATACAAATAAATAAATAAAAAAAAAAAGCTGTGGCCACAGAACAACTTTCACTTAGCAGTTTTGAATTCCTCAAGGCACCTCTGAGAGCAGATTTGCCCAGGAGTTGCCCACTTGACATTTCTGGACGTAGTGGGATTCTTTTCTGATCAAACACTCGAGGGAGGTGGGCATGAAGAGTATGAAAACTTGGAGCCTATTAGCTACTCTTCTGTGATAACAGGGGTTTAAGCCAGCCGAGTGCCTCCACCCAGTCCACCTGGGGACTGTGAGCACTGAGAGAGTGAGGGCTTGAAGGCAGCGTATATCTATTTGTTCCTGTGGGGATTAGTATCAGAAAAGGATCAAAACGGAGGTACCTTACTAACACTGTAGTGCCTGGAAGTGCCCCTTGAAATGCAGCACCTTGGTGGGATGCTCTGCACACCCGCCCACACTGAGGAATTCCTGTCAGTAGGCTGTGGAAGCTCCCCCAGCTGTGACTAACCACCCAAACATGTGACACACGGTCTGAGCCATTCATCCCGGCTACGCGTGAGAGCGGGGATCTCCACTGGGCACACGCCGTCCCCAGGGACACCTCTGACAGCTAGGGAGTCGAGCCACACCCAAGGACACATTCATGCAGGAGTGACGTGGGATCTTGCGGAGAAGCGCCAAGTTTTGGAGTGGGTGCCTTAGCTGCAGGGCTGCTGGTGCTCCCCCAGTGAGAGAGACCCTGATGAGGACACAGAGTCCTGGGCATGGAAAACCGGCCCTTCTAGCCTAGGCGGTGGTCTTTCAGGTTTGCAGTGTGGGAGCGATGCAAGTGCACTCAGGAATTACTGTTTGGTGCTCTGGGGTGGAGCAGAGGTTGTATTTTGAAACAGTTCTGGGAGATTTGCTGATAATAGCCAGCATATTTTTGGTAAAAAAGCCACCTCAGGGCCTTGCTTATAATGAGATTGGGGAGATTTGCTGCAAGCACTAATCCTTCTCTCTCTTCGTCACTCTCCCAGCCACAAGGCTCATACAGAGCACTCAGCCTGTGCATGCTTCTGTTTCCACAGAGCAAGCAAAAGCGGGAGAGAGCTGCTGCCACAGTCCTGCCCACTCCCATGGGGATTCACGGGCCCCATAATCCCAGCTGACTGCTGGGTTACTCCTCCCATGGCGTGTTTCCCCTTGCTCACCCCCCGGGTCTCTTAGTGCTCCCTTCACTGAGTGCTGCATGGATGGCAAAGGAGGAGACCTGACCAAGTTCCAGCCCACCTGATGCTGGGCTGGAATTTGCCCTCAGATGCTCAAGTGCCCTGTAAAGCAAGAAATAGCACAACTAGCCCCCTTCGATTTCAACAAGTTCCTGTGCTTGTTGTACCTTTCAATAGGGAAGTGACAGCACTGTCACCCAGCACAGCATAAGGCAGGCTGCAAGGCATGACACTGTTGTGGCGCGGTACGCGCTCCTCGCTGCGGCACTCCGAGCCGTGCCAGGCTGGGCGGTGAGGGAAGAGAACGGGCGGCCGCTTTCCCCTGCAAGCTCTGCAGTTCAGTTCGTGGCGCGCGGGGACAGACGAAGGCGACACGGGACTTGGGGGGTGAACGGGATGGTTTTATTCAATGAGCCCCAAGACCCCGGCGGGCGGGGGGGCAAAGGTTTTATACAGAACTCAGGAGGAGGTGTGTAGGAACAGCAACCAATGAGGGAATAGCAGGGGAGGAGTTTAGGGCAGAACTAACATCTGGAAGCTGAGGAGGGGGCTAGAATGAATGACAGGGAAGGTTCTAGGGAAAGGGGCAGGGAAAGGGAGGATTGACCACTTGGAGATGGGGGGGGGGGAAACAGATATTAAACAAATATCAAATGAAAGAAAAACACACCACCGCATCATGACACTCCTAATTTTTTTCCTTCCTTCTGTTTTCCAACAAAAAGTTAATGAGATAAAACTAAATAACGAGATTTGTTTACCCTTCCTTCAAGGCAGGGAGCCGCTCTTCTAATCCTCTAAAAGGGAGGGCGAGGAATGGGATTTCCAATCTTCACATCTGAAGATGGATGCTTAATACTTCATTGGTCTTTTCTGCTGAGGCAAAGCAGCATTCACAGAAAAGGAGGCTCTTCTCCATGGCCCTGCCAGGATTGATAAATAACTCATAGCTACAGTGCTGTAACAGTAGCAGTGAACAAATGTGCTGAAGCACATCTCAATTATGCCTGTATTGATCCTCTGTCAGGACCAGTCCACACCCAATCATCCCACAGTATGACACAGGGTGAAGCAGCAGTTCCCCTTATAAACTGCCCAGAGGGAAATCTGGAGTGTCTCTTAAGCTGTTTTCTGCCATGACACTGCAGGGAGAGCAGCAAAGCAGCACATCTCGGGGCTGCCATCTGGAGTGTAATTTCTTCAAACCCTGCTGGGAGAGTTTTGGAAAGTACCTCTTTAGCTAGAACAGCTTGACAGTGAACAAAGGAAACTCTGGCCAAATTTGCAGCTTCACACATCCTGCTCCTCCTGAACTGTTTTCAGGAGGACAGAGAGTATATGGAAGCTGGGCTCTTGGTAAGACCAAATATAGCCTATGCCTTGTCATAGAAGGGAGGGACAGGTTAGGACAACGCAGCTCCAAAACCCACATTGCCCAAGGGAGTGACAAGTTTGCCAAGATCTTAATTGAGATCTATCCCCTTTACCCTGTGAAAACAAGTCTGTAAGAGGCATGGGGAGACATCCATGACAACAGCCCAGGGATAGATCTGGGCTGGGTCATCCCCAGTCCTGCAGGAAATGCACTGAACTCTGAGCACTGGAGTGGCTGACACAGGTGAACAGTGACTCACGATGAAGAGTTAGCTTTTGTGATGTGAGGCCACCTGGCAATATATTTTTGTATTTGAGGAAATCCAAGGGTGAGGACCTTTGTTGTCCTTTTGCCCTCGCAGGGCAGAGTCTGCTGAACAAGGGGAGTTGTGAAAGCAACCTCCACGACTGGGTCCATTGTCCACATTCTTCTCATTCCAGAGAGATATCTTCCCTGTATTGGCTCCAGCAAGCCTCTGGGAAGGATAGTGAGAGCCATGGGAGCAAGAGGGGAGAGCTACAAAATACTCAGAGCCTGGAGCAGGCTGGTCAGAGAATTGCTGAAGACCAGCTCCGGGAATGTGGGCCACTGCTGAAGGAGAGCTGGGCACATCCACTGGCTGTGACAGCTCAGGCAGCTGAGCCAGCCTGCCTGTGAGCTGGCCTCCAGCGGCGTGGTGTGCCCTCAGCAGGGGAGCTCTTGATGTCTCCAAAGCCACATGTAACATGAACCAGCTTATACCGTACTGATCACAGGTGTAAAGAGCCCTCTGAAAGCCAGATGAGGTATTTTACACCATGACCACCTTTATCCCACCCTGTACAGAGCACTGACCAGCTCCAGGCTCTGAGCATTTTGTAGCTCAGACCCTTTAGATGCCTGAGTCACACTTTCTCAGTGTCTAATATGCTGTACTTGCATGTTCAGAGGTTTTGCAGTTTTGAGAGACAGATACACTGTAAAATACAACCTCTTTTTTAGAGTTATCCTCCTTTGGAACAGAAAAAAAATGAAAATCTACACAAAACTCTCTGTGCAAATCATAGGACTGCAGTTAAAATCCAAGAATGAAGCCAAAAGCACAGCTGATAGGGGCTTCACAGTCCTTCAAC